TTCATTTTCACTTTAAGGGTTTACAAAACCCGTGACCGAAAAGTGGAACACCGAAAATTTTGTGTCATTCCACTCATTCTCCTTTGTTGTGCATCTCTTCTTTCTCACTCAGTAAAAAATCCAAACCTTCAGAGTTCTTGCAAGATTCTCGCCAACATGCCAACTCGATGTTTGACCAGCGAGATTTTCAGTTTAATACCAAAAAAAAAAAAGAATTAAACCAAAAATTTCAAACCCAAAAGAGATCTAACAAAAAATCGTCCCAATTTTTAAAGTCCGTTATACTAAATTATAGTAAAACAATGCAAATCAGACGATTACAGTACATATCTATCAATATCTGAAATTTTCTAAAGAAATCTACGTTGTTTATTTTCTTTCTTTTTTTTTCACAAAGAAAATTGTTGTAAGCTGAGGACTAAAGTCGAATCTTTTGGCTATTGGCCGCTTCTTAATAAATAATTCTTTTACATTTTGTTTTTTATTTTTATTTTTTAATAAATTTTAATGGATCTAAGAAGATTCAATGTTTATTGGTTACACCATGAATAATAATTGCAAAAGTTGAAAACATCTATAAAGAACTGGAGTTTTTTTTTCTTTCGAAAAACGGCCGTTTATTACCAATTGCAACAAACGATCGCTTTCTGGTCCGATTAATTCATCAATTTTAAGATTACTTAGAGTCATTTTTGTAAAAATTATAACATAAATCAAATTTAACGTTTTTCTGAATTTTTATGTGTTATTTGTTCTATATTAATTATTTATATTATATAATTTAGGATTTTTGTGTTTTTTTTGGCAGGTACATGTGTGAAGTTGCCTGGATATTTTTATGTGTATTTCATTTGATTTTGAAATTTTAAAAATTATTTTCTTGGATGATTATTTTGCGTATTTAAAAGATATAATAGTAATATGATACATTAATACATCATAAAATGACTAAAAATATAAGTGGAAAATAATAATGTTTTTGATTTCTGCATATTATTTCTGCTAGCCAAAGAAATTCTACATGATTTATGTCAGACATATTTGTTACAGATTGAGATGATTGGAGAAAAAAAAAGCGAAAAAATTAAAATAATAATTTATGCATGATAGTCACACATTTCCATTACAAATAGATTTTTCTTGAAAAAGTCAAAGAAAACGTTACATTCTGTGGAGTTGATTACAGAAAGAAGCCAAGAAAAAAAATTATTAAATTTGCTGTTTTGTAACTGCTTCAGGCGGAAAAACGAAATAATATTATTTAATGTTGTTTATAATAAAACTAAATTTTGTTGCTCCAAATTATATAGACTAGTACGAATCCCGTGCGATGCACGGGTACGATATATTCATTAATATTTGTAAAATAAATTCTCATTAAATAATATATATAAATTAAAATATGAAATCAATATGTAATACAATTTATCTTTGTTAATTTATTTAAAATATTAAATAAAATTTAAATTTTGGAAATCATATAAAACATGTCTATTTAAAATTAGTACACAACCCGTAGAGTGCACATAATTGATAATAAATTACATTATATCCATTTCAAAATAAGTGTCATTTTAAAACTTTTATTCAAAAATTATATTTGAATACAAATGGTTCAACATAATAATTATTTTCATATAATTTTAGCATATATTTAAAAATCTATTTGAATAGTATGTATAATATTAAAATTTGTATTGTTTCAATATATTAAAATAAAATTATTTTTGTGTAAATTATCCAAGTAAAAAATATTAGTAGTTGACTAATTTATTAAACTACAAATAAGTAACTATTCTATTTACATTCAAATTAATATTAACTCGTAAGTTATGAATAACTACTTATTTACATTTTAAATTTGGAACCCAAGTTTAGACTATACAATAAATTCTCTTATTTATATTATATATATATATATATATATATATTTATATTTTACTAATCTCAAAATTTTCTGGATTTATTGTCTCTTACATTTTCGTTTAAATTTATCATCTAATTCTCTAAAATTATATTACAAATTGTTAATAAGTATTTGTTCAAAATCTTTATAATTTTCAGAGAAATTGTTTTTATTGTTACACAAGATTTTGCTCTTAAGGTCATGAGGAAGAAGATTAAGTAATTATCGTCAATATATGCGGCTTTTGTGCAATATTCTCCAATTATTATTATCATCTCATCAGCAGCAACATTGGCGCCATCCTAACCGTTTCTAAATTTCAAATTCTTTGTTAACCAAGACCGCTCTCCCTATCTTAAAATTAACTTCTTTCACTCGATAATTTCCCCTAATAACAACAATAACAAAAATCCTAAATAACTCTCCAGATCACGAAAAAAGAAAACAAAATGGAGAAATCTTCAGAAGGAATAGGCATCAATATCTACACGGCCTCCCCTCAACTCGACCCGCCACCAGCAGCCGCCGGCCGGAAACGGCGCGCGGTGGCGAGCGGGGTCCAGAAGACCCTGTCGAAGACCTCCCTCCTGGCCAACTTCCTCCCGACGGGGACCCTCCTCACCTTCGAGATGGTCCTGCCCTCCATCTACTCCGGCGGCGGTGGCTGCTCTCCGGTGAGGACCCACATGATCTACTCCCTCCTGGGCCTCTGCTCCCTCTCCTGCTTCTTCTTCCACTTTACGGACTCCTTCCGGGGGCCCGACGGCAGGCTTTACTACGGGTTGGTTACCCCTGGCGGGCTGGCCGTCTTCAAGCCGGGTCTTGGCGTGGAGGTGCCTCGGGACGAGAGGTACCGGGCTGGGCTGGGAGACCTGGTCCACGCCCTCATGTCGGCCCTCGTGTTCCTTGCTATTGCCCTGTCGGACCACCGGGTGACCGGATGCGTGCTGCCGGGCCACGCGAAAGAGATGGACGAGGCCATGCAGAGCTTCCCACTCATGGTCGGGATAGTCTGCAGCGGACTCTTTCTTGTCTTTCCCACTACCCGCTATGGGATCGGCTGCGTGTCCCCATGATTCATTGTTACGAGTTATTTAATGCTTATGTGTGTGTAAAGATAATGCAAACATAATATGTAGGGATGTGTGTGTGTTTCGTTTAGTTTTTCTTATTAGTTTTGTTTGTGGAGTATATATATTAATTGGGTAGTTTTTGTATTGTTTGAATTGTGAAGGTTATAATGTTTTGTTGTATTATAGTGGTATATTTTCGAACTTTGTAGTGTCATGTGAATTGTGAGATGTCTAATGTTTGTAGCAAACGTTGTATTATTTATGGAAATTAAATTACTAAGGCCCCGTTATGAAATTATTCCGTCAGAGTTTGTAACCGTCAGATCAACATGTAACCGTCAGAGATAGTTGATCTAACGGTTATAAACCCTAACAGAATGGTTATGTAACGGGACTGTAGCATCTTCCATTATTTTATTAATGGAGATGGCATCGACACGACAGGAAGGTACAAACACCGAGTTACATTTGATTTCAATTGGTCACCCCTATTTAGTCAACTAAGTTCCGTTGCACACTGTAAAACAATCGTGTGTCATTTGAAATTTGAAATAGTTACAAAATGCCTTTCACAAACAAAATCGTAGCAAAAGCAAAACGCAATTCGGAAGATCCCAGAAAATTCGATCGTAACCCTCGTCTCGTCACCGCTCCCTAGCGACTTTCACCTGGTGTCTCGTCGGCCCATCTTCTGAGTGGCGCTTCCATTCTAACTGGGTTGGGGTTGTGGTCTGTGTTCGACTCTCCCTAGTGTTTCCGAAGGTTTTTTCTTTTGGTAGGGTGTGCAGGCGGTAGGGCCAATTCTAGTGAATTTTAGGGGGTGTATTTAACAACTTTGCTAAGAAACCAGATGGTTGGGACAGTGTCATGTATTATTCACAGCCTCATGTGGCACTAGGAGTGCACATATTGCGGTTAACCGACCGAAACCAAAATTTCGGTTTCGACCGAAACCGAAACCGACAAATTGGTTCAGTTTTCGGTTACTATTTTCCCAATATTTCGGTATTCAGTTCGGTTTGGCTATAACCTGTCGGTTAACCGAACCGAACCGAAAACCGATAATACACATATAATATAAAAGGCCCAATATAAATGTTGTATTTTACAAGCCCAAAAGTTGCAACAAATCACCCACCACAAATCACTAAAGCAGGCCCATTACATTATCACTGACACTCATCTTCCATCGACCCATATTCACAATTTGTCAGATAAATTGTTACGCATTTTGGTCGGTAATAATTCCAGGACAAGTTTTCTCTTTTTTTTTTTTCCTTATGCATTTTGGTTTTTTTTGTAAAATTATTATGTAGTATCTATTGTTATTTGTAATTTTTTTTTTTTTTTTTTTTTT